ACACCCCACAGCTGTACGTACACCCCACAGCTGTACGTACACCCCACAGCTGTACGTACAACTCACAGCTGTACGTACACCCCACAGCTGTGCTTACACCCACCCCACAGCTGCATGTACACCCCGCAGCTGTACATACACCCCACAGCTGTACATACACCCCACAGCTGTACATACACCCCAGAGCTGCATGTACACCCCGAAGGTGCACGACCACCCCAAATGTGCATCGGGCGGTCAAAGAAAGCAAGTGCGTTTAGCAGCAGACACAAAAAAGGGTTTAGGGTTTAGGGTTTAGGGTTTAGGGTTTAGGGTCTAGGGTTACTTGTGTGTCTTTAGCGGCAGAAGGAGTCCCTTTATTGGTTTGCTGCTGATGGCGCATTTCAGCAGCAAGCAGCTGCAGCTGGCCCACGCACTGGCGCATGTCCCCTCCTGAGCAGCAAACCCTAAACCCTAAACCCTAAACCCTAAACCCTAAACCCTCCGAGACCTCATAGTCAAGAACGTGGAAGCACGAGACCGTCTTCTGCCAAGCGCGTCCCACGCGTGGCGCGCCCGCGATCCCGAAACCCTAAACCCTAAACCCTAAACCCTAAACCCTTGCCTGAGACTTCGGCGATCTTCGCGAGGGTTTCTTCTGAAACCTCCAAACCCTCGGCCCGCGCTATCTGCTGCATGCGCTGCTTCAAAGCTGCTGCTGTTGGCCGCTCGAACCGCAGGTCTAAGCAGCGGGTCGCCAGCGTCCGCACCTGCAGCCCCAAACCCTAAACCCTAAACCCTAAACCCTAAACCCTAAACCCTAGACCCTCAGCTGTGAAGCGTGAAGGGCGCTTGAGTTCCAGGGCCCAGAGCTGGTCTGCTGCTGAGAGCGAAGCCCATCGGGCCTGCTCTGCCGCTGAAACCCTAAACCCTAAACCCTAAACCCTAAACTCTAAACCCTAAACCCTAAACCCTAAACAGCGAATTCTAAACCCTAGACTACGAGCTTAAGACGCAGATCGTTCGACGCTATCCGTGTGCAGCGTTGAGCGCGTCTGGGGCGGGGCGGCGCGCCCGAGGGTTTGGGGCTTAGGGCTTAGGGTTTAGGGTTTAGGGTTTAGGGTTTGCCTTGGAGCTCATTCTGTCGTTGCAGACGCAAATGATGGGAATGCGGCTGCTGTCCAGCAGCTTCAAAATGGCCTGAGAGCCTCCGCGGTCTCCGCCGCTGAGTCCATCCACTTCATCCAGCAGCAGACACGGCAGTTTGCCCTGCCCCGCTGCTGCTGCTGCTGCTGCTGCTGCTGCTGCTGCTGCTGGTGCTGCTGCGGGGGAGGCGGGCTTGCTGCTCTTCGCTAGTTGGAAGAAGTTCACAGTTACGCCGCCTGTCACCAGACTCTCCAGCTCTGCAGCAAAAGGAACAAAAGGGTTTAGGGTTTAGGGTTTGGGGTTTAGGGTTTGGGGTAACAGATGAAGGAACACGAAGAGACAAAAAAAAATAAAAGGGAGATTAAAAAGGAGACAAAAAGGGAACTAAAGGGGGGCAAAAAAGGAAAAAGAAGGAGACAAAAAGAAAAAGATAAAAGATAAAAGGGAAATTAGAAAAGATAAAAAAGATTTCAAAAGGATTGAAAAAGAAGACAAAAAGGAAGCAGCAAAGAGGCAGCAGCAAATACAAAAATGAAAAACTTTTGAAACTCAAAAAAAGAAAAAGAATTTGAAAAAAAAGAAGACAAATGGGATTCCAAAAAAAATACAAGACAAAAAAAGACTTCAAAAAT